GTCGAAAGAAAGGGCTTCGTTGTGTGGACGTGTCCAGGCTTAATTCGGTTTAACGCTGCTAAAGTCGACCTAAACCCGTAGTGTAGACCAGGCCTTAATTACTGCAGTGGCTGTATGTCAATGTACTTTAGGACTTCTTAATTTTGTAGTGTAGACTTGCCTTAGTCTAGTTTGGTGGGAACTAATGTTACATACACTCTGCCTAAATGATAACATCTAGCAATCCAGAGGAGATAAACAGATATTGACAAAGACTGAAAGAAATGAAAACAGTCTTACAATAATTATTTATGAAAAGCTGTAGAAAACATGCTTTGTTTTCACATGAAATGTGTTGCAAAATTTAGGGCCAATTTCTGCCATTGTATGCACAAACGTGGCTTCCTCTGATGTGAAGAGAAACCTCATGTCTGGATCAGAGCAGAATTAGGATTCTTGAGAATGAAAGAGTTAATGACCACAAAACAAATAGACTTATGTGTATTATCTGTTCATATTTAAAACTCCAGCATGCTAAGACATCCTTTCATTAATGAGAATTTATCGTATAAACCCTTTTTAAATTTTCCTCTTCATTTGTGCATAGTTGTTCATAAATACTTGCTTAAATTTAAACGCTTTAGATGTATCTTACCCTTTCTAACTATGTCAAATAATCCTGTGTCTTGGTTTTTTTCTCCTTTTAGGAACAACAGCACTTCATTTATTTCTCCTTATGCATCCTTCTATCATCAGTAATCTCCCTAGTCCAAAAACTTTTGAAGAAGTTCAGTTCTTCAACGGAAACAACTATCACAAGGGAATTGACTGGTAAGAAGACTACCAAAAAATAAATGTCCATTATTAACGCATGCTAAATCACAATGGAACAGTTATAGAAGTATATGTGACAACCATATAATTACCAGATGAATTTGCTATGCTTGGCACTATCAGAGTGAATTAGAAACTAATTCATAATGATGGGACACTTAATCAAGTGTTGCCCTTAATTTTATTTAGATGTTACAATAACTGTCATAGTTTCTAGTAAAGTAATACAATAGAGAGCCCAATTCTGATGCCTTCTCTCCATGCTGAGTTATACCTTACTCTGCAATTTCATCATGATCATACTCATTTTAATAGGCCAGATTGTGCCGCCCTTTCTCAGATCGAACTACTTGTAAAGTAGGGTCTTATTCTACGTGAGTAAATGTGGCATAATCTAGCCATTGAGACTGCTTATGGAGTAAATTACTATTCAGCATAACAAAGCGTGGCAGAATTGAGCCATTGATAAGGAACTTTAGATTGTCATTCCTCTCAAACTCTTTAACATGGGTTTTTAAATCTTTAAAGAAATTATTTTGTAACGATTCATGTACCAAAAGTTACTAGTGTCCTCACACTTATAGCAAAGCTAATATGTAGGAAGAACATTGCCACATATATGTATATTAAAAGACTAATCTTCTTGAATTGTTTAAATCATACAAAACTGTAATATACTGCAATGAAGAATAGAAACAGACTACACGACATATTTTAAAAAAATCACTGAAAACAACATTATCACAATGGCTACACTTAGTTTAAGAGAAATACTGAATTATTAGGTTAAAAATGTTGTGAAAACCCAGGAGACGGAAACACTTCATTGTGCATTTTTTCATACTACATAATGGAGCATATTGCTATTGATATTACCTTTTATTAGCTGAATTTCATTGTAAAATGCATGTCTATTTTTGTACTTTTTGTTTATATCTCAGACATGTTGAGATTGTATCATAACAAGAGGTGAGGGAGGTTGCAGATTTATTCTGTTAATCCCAATATACATCTGGATGCATGGCCTATATCTATGGAAGCATTCAAATAATATATGGGATAACGAACCTGTAGACACATTGCAGGAACAAGAAGCAGAAGATAATTCTATATTGACTTTGTTTCTAAAACATCCATCTTGCTCTGCACAATACAAAGGACCAGCGCTTCAGTTGATGTTGGTCAGTGCAGTTCCATTGACTGGCCCACAATCGGCAAATTTGATTAGAAGTGCAAAAACAAACATGTCACAATTTATTCCATGTTTTTCCATCTACAGCATTTTTATGTCTGCGGTCAGATTATAATCCCTACTTTGGCCTGTTTACACCAGGTAAAGGGACTGTAGTAGGGCTAGGGGCTTTAAAAGGCACAGATGCAGCCAGGATAGAATTTCTCCAGCATAGCAACTGAGGAAGACATGCAGGCTGGCATAGGGAGCTGGGACTGAAGCATGTAGCACTGCTTAGATTCCAGGTAGCACTGCTGCTATAGCTGTAACGCAAGTAGTCTCCCCCAACTGCATCCCCCTCCCGCCCCCGGAGACTGTCTAATTTATGCCAGGGACAACTCCATTCCTCAGAGCAATACAGAACTGGGAGGATGCAAAGATGGCTTAAAGCCACATTATCCTCCCCTCCCACTGGGCAGCAGGTGCCATGGAACACCTACTAGAAGCACAGTCTAGAATCTCACTTCACATCTTTAATCTGTTCACACTTTGACTTCAAATGAGGAGCGCTTAGATGTGTATATCCATCAACGCTTTTATTGTTAAAAATGCTCTTAGGAAAAAGAGTATTTCCAGTTTTCTGCTGAATATTCATTATAAGTACAATTAGTACTTTCCTTATCACTAGTGGAAATCATTGCCAATACAGTCACAGTGTTTAGCTGTTCACATCATTGACCCCCCAGCCAGTGTTTTTTACTGTTACAAATTTAGAATGAATCTTTTTCCCAGTTAAGTTTTGATTTTTTCCATTTGTGAATTACGTTGGAAGATTAACATTTCCACGTGCTATGAAATGTAGAATATATGCATAAGACAATTTATTACTTTCTTAATTCAAATCATTGTCTCCTTCTCCCCAGGTACATGGATTTCTTCCCTACCCCTTTAAATGTCACCACTGACTTTCTGTTTGAGAAAAGTGCCAACTACTTCCATTCAGGGGAGGCTCCCAGACGAGCAGCTTCCTTGGTCCCCAAGGCCAAGATCATCACCATTCTCATTGACCCATCAGATCGGGCATACTCCTGGTATCAGGTAGGGAACTTGCCACTGAGAAATGGGCAATGAAATCAAAAGCAGTGAGTGGAAACTAATTCACGCCCCTTCCTGGGAGATGTTCCAGAGAGATGGGTTGGCTCAAAAAAAAAAAATCATAGAATGTCAGGGTTGGAAGGGACCTCAGGAGGTTATTTGGTCCAACCCCCTGCTCAAAGCAGGACCAATACCCAGACAGATTTTTGCCCTGGATCCCTAAATGGCCCCCTCAAGCATTGAACTCACAACCCTGGGTTTAGCAGGCCAATGCTCAAACTACTGAGCTATCCCTCCCCACTGTGTTTCAAAAAAAGGTTGCATCATATATAGCAACTTGACATATTTGTGCAGACAAATGAATTAGCCAGAGCAATGCCAAAAGTCATCTATAAAGTTAAACTAGGCATGAAGTAGAAAAATTATGATACCCTATGATAAGGTTTGCAAATAACAATATAAAGCGCTTAGTTCACTACTCCAGTTGACACTCCTTCCAGCCCCATCCTGAGCACATTCACAAAAGATTACACAAGTCATAAGACAGTGGAGAAGCATGCCCTATGGTTGCATCTACACTGGCAGAATTTGGACCTGTAATTCTCCATCAGTGCAGCTCCATCAATCCCAACACTGGCAGAACTGTACTAGGGTGATCAGACGTCCCAATATTACAGGGACCATCCTGATATTAAGGGCTTTGTCTTACATAGGCACCTATTCTTCCCCCCCTCCCCCCGATTTTCCACACTTGCTATCTGGTCACCCAAAACTGCAGTCTGAGATGGTAGAAGGCTGTGTGCTGTCTACACCGTAACTGCCAACTATGCCACAAAATGTAGAGCTGCACTTGTGGCGAATTAAGGGTCCAACTGTTCTTAATGCATATGCAGCTCTGGTGCCTGATTCTCCACTGCCTTGCACTAGCTGGTGCATGCCTTTGCCAAGAGATTGCAAAAGTATGTGTGAAATGCTACCAGTTCTGAATATTTCAATAAATTAGGCTCTATATGGTTTTAACATGGGCTTGTTGGTCTCTACAAACTATTATCTGAGTGTGTGGGTAATATCCCTTCTTAGTAAAAGAGATGATTCTTAGATTTTTAAGGCTGGAATGGATCACTTGGTCTGATCTCCTGCATAATACAGGCCACATAATTTCACCAAGTGCTCTCCTTCCTCAAGCCCACAACACCTGGGAATGGAAAGAACCACAGATAATCTTCTTCCATTGAAACAGCCATAGGTTTTTGGTTGGTGGTTGGGTAATGTGTATGGTGGTGGTGATGGTGATGTTATTATTAAGGGTATGATAGCCACTGAAAATGAGACCATTATCCATCTAGGATATTTCATTACATTAACACAATAGCAGTGAAGCTACAATTTGCTAAATTCTTAACTATGTTTGGAAGTCTGAAATACTACAGTTTTCACTTTTTTACTCAATTATGGCTTAATTTATTAGCTAATTACAGCTATTTGTCTCTCAATTTTGTATGCTAGCACCAGCGATCTCATGAGGACCCTGCTGCTCTGAAGTTCAATTTCTATGACGTGATTACATCAGACCATTGGGCTCCCTCAGAGTTAAGGACTCTCCAGAAGAGATGTCTGATCCCTGGGTGGTACGCTACCCATATAGAAAGATGGCTAACTCATTTTCCCACTTCCCAGGTAATTTCCTGCTAGCCATTTCACAAAGCTCACTGATTTGGGGAACAACAATCTCAATGTGTACCATTATCGCATACAATCTTGTGATGCTTTTTCATTGATTTGGGGGGAAAAAATCAAGGAAAAGCTATATAAACACATGCTTTAGATAAAATTCATCTTTACAAAAACCCTCCCAGAATACCAATTTCCTGACCAAAAAAAACACAACACACACTTATGGATGTTCCATACTCTCGATCATACCTTCTGCCCCTACAAAGAAAAATGGGTATGAAAGGAAAAGGTATATGTAGGGTAGTAAGCAATCTCCCCTGTGACTGCCTCATCTGACCAGGACTTAGACTAACTAGAAGACACAGCCTGTGCTTCCTAGTTCTATCACAGAGTTTCTTTAAGTGCTAGAAAGCCAAAAAGATCTATAGGATCTGTTTCTGTCCATGGCTGGCCTTTTCTGTTGCATGGCCTCAAGTTGCACTACAAAGGGGAAAATAGACCAGTCCCATTGCTAGTAAGTAAGAGGAGGGCTGGGTTTTTCAGTGACTTGTATCTTCTCCCTTTAGTCCTGCTTCTCTTTTGATAGGCAACAAGTACCGGCCTACGAGCAGCAGAGTTTGCATGGGATGCAAAGTTCCCAAAAAAATATGCCTGCAAGTTGGGGGATCTATGGCAGGTAGGACTTCCTGCAGCAAGTTGTTTACTCCCACTCTGGTCCTGCTAAGGGAGGGAGACACAACGCTGTCCCACAAATTTCAGAAAATGCATGGGATTCTGGGTCCCCAAGAGAGCCAGGACTCCAATTACCTGTTTGCTTTCTCTGTTCTTAAGGCTGAGCCTCCTGCTCCTAAGACTTATGTTAAGGTTTCTCCCCCCTGCAGTAGTTAATTTCATCACAGCGAATGCAGACCCTGCTGTTAGGCATGCAGGTGCACATTGGCATATTTCTTGTAAAATTGGCTACCACCGTGTTTGCCTAGTTGCAGTGATTAATTTTACAAGATACGCAACAATGTGAACTCATTCTTTATAGTGTGCGTGCAGAAAGTGCACTTATTGTGCTTACTAATGTGCACTCAAAAAGTCAATAATTCATAAGCCCTCACAATAAATATGAAACACACCCATCCAAGTTAGTTATTATCTGTACAGTTCTGTACTGCAAAAGCTTCTATATATAACTTTACCAGCTAGACTCAAAGTCCAGTTCAGCACTGAGGTAGCTTTGCATCAGACCAGATTTTGTTAACGTACTTTTGAAAGAACTGTAATAATTACAAATTGATTATCAGATACTGTCAATCTACTGTATCTGCATAGTGGTTGCTATTTAATTACTAGATATTTATGGGCTTATCTCGCTGAAAGCTCAGTGTGTATTTTAATGCTTTTGAATGTTGTGTATGTCTGACTTATCTGATCAAACTTTTTTAAATCTGTTTTTCTCAGTATTCTGTAAATCTTTGAGATTTTGATTTTATTCTTTGCTTGTGAATGCAAAAATTACTATATTGGGGAGAACAAGGTAGGCACTCAAGCAGTTCCCTCAGTTGCCAGATGCAAGACTATACATCTCCAGCATGATGCAGAGCTGAAAGAAATTAAGGCTAGAAACAGCTGAATTGCACGACTGCTAATGATACCATATTACCTCAAATCCACCTTGCCTTCAATTATGTCACAGAGGAAGTGAGGTAGCTTAGTTTATTGAACTGAGTCTTTTGTCTTAAATGGACAATCTATCCTTACAGTTGCTAATTATTGATGGACAGCAGCTAAGAAGTGACCCAGCTACAGTGATGGAGGAAGTGCAGAAGTTTCTGGGAGTCTCACCTCATTATAATTACTCTGAAGCTCTAACGTGAGTCTGTACCTTTAATCTCTTCTTTGTATATGATTATGTACATCCATACTTCCCAGGGACAATTTATCATCAGTTACAGACAAAAAATTACATTAAAAGAATATTAAGGTTGCCAGGTCAAGCACTCAAAAATCACCCCCCTTGTGTATATCCATTCTGATGCAGTCTTTCATTACATGATCACATACTATTTTCCCTATAGGACCCCTGCCTCATTCAGTGCACAGGATAGATGGCGCTCACTGAATGAACAGCTAGTCCATTTCTCCTGATACCCATAGCTCAATGTGAGGCCCCAGAACTTATTTACTTCATACCCTCCAAACTCTGCTCTGAAGACACAATTATTAATTTCTTCATGGTTGTTTCTATGGTGCTCCTCGCTGTAGTTTTTGAGTACTTCACAAACATTATTCAGGTTATTTTTCCAACAGCCCTAAGAGGTGATGGGGTATTATCCTCATTTTGCAGATAGGAAACTGAGACAGACACCAAAGTCATAAATACACATAATCTTGCATGCCCAATTTGAGATGCATATGGCCTGATTTTTGAGAGTTCTTAGCATTTCATCTATTCAAAACACAGCCCCCACTGACTTATGAGCATTCACAACTGCAACTGCACCTCTGCAAATCAAACACTAGGGTCTCAAGTCAGGCACCCAGAAAATGAGGAACACGCAACTTGTAATCACCTGTGAAAAGTATGGTTTAAGGGACTTGTTCAGCATTACACAGAAATTCTGTGGCAGAGGCAGTGATAGAATCCAGTTACCTAGTGCATCATTTAACAGCCTTAATCATGAGAGTTTCCCTTCAACTGTAAGAGTCATGTTTTTTTTTAACATGGGTAAAGTAATGTATTTTCCCTAATCTTGTTCTCAGAAACGGCTTTGTTGAAACTTCCCAAAAAAATTCAGCATCAGGAAAACACCCAACAGGGAAAACTTCAGCTTTAAAGTTTGGCGAAGTTATAAGCAACTGAAAAGAGGATCTTATAATGGGAAGTGTCAGGCAGCCTATAATATTTAGTGTAAGCTCATCCCCCAGTGTGAGGCCCAAAGGCAATCAGAGGAATATCCTCCCTGTCTAGTGTGCCTTTGATACACTTTCCATTGATTTTAATAGCCATGAATCAGTGAAGTCCTTACCAAGGTGCCTGTAATGAGTTCAGTTCAGGTCTGAGATCTACACATGTAGGAGACCCGAAGGGTATAGATTTCCCCTGGATCACATTAAAGGGTGGTTAACTATCTTCCTATCCTTTCCCAGTCTCTGCAGAGAGTTCCCCATCAGCTCTGGGATCTCTGCAGGAATTTGGATTGGGTGGATATTAACCCTCCCAGACCAGTAGTAAATAGGCAAGAGGCTTTTACACTGGCTCTTTCCACATTGGGGAACCTCATTTACAGTTGAATCCCAGGGGCAAGCACTGTATTGGAGCCAAGAAACCAACAGCCTCTTAGGAAGATGAAGGGCTACTGGGGCTCCCCAAAGCCAATGTGCAAACATTCAGCATCTGCTTGGGTGGTCATTGCCTCCTACAGATTCCTATGTCTGCAGGACTTGGGGTAGTAATCCATGTCCAGTCCATAGTTAGGGAGGAGAAGCAAATCCTACACACTTCCATCTCCATAGGAATGATACAACCATAGGAATGACACAACTCCAGCAGGGAGTTTTCATCTCCCACACATTGCCTCCACTTTTAAGTGAGGGTAAGACTGCAATGGTTCCTCTTCAATCTTTTCCAGAACAAACAATACTTTGTGGGTTATACTGATCCTTATACTAAGTATAAGCCCAGAATTGTGCAGGCTTCTTCTTTTTAAAAAAAAAAAAAAAAAAAGTAACTCTTAAAAAC